GGCCTCTCTCATGAGGCTAGGCAAACAGAGCCCTATTGCAGGCTGAGGACCCCCCACCATTATCCCCACTTCTACCCCAGGGGACCTCTCAGCCCCCTCCTCAAAAATCCCAGTAATGCAGTGGAAATCAAAGTTACCTTAAATATTCTAACCTTATAACAATTCTGCTTCAATCAACATCAAAATGTGACTGCAGGTGCCCAGACCACCCAGTAGCCTGATTGGTGGAGGGGGCAGTGAGCTTTGGGGGATGGAGGGCAGAGGGCTGCTCTCAGACATGGGCTTGGCTCAGGAGGGGCTTCCTGGGGGCTGTAGGTCATTCGGTCCATCCCTCTGCTTTCTCCTGGCCTGCCCACACTGAGCCATCCTTCCCCTTCTTCACCTTCCCTGAGGCAGCCCAGGAAGCATGACAGACCATGGTTATACTCTCTCCTGAGTAACTGGGCTGGGCGAGAACTGGGAAATGGTGATTCTCCACAGGCAAGTGGAGGCCAGGGGCGGCTTCACGGGTGTGCAGTCTGCGCTGTCACACAGGGTTCCATGCCCAGGACTCCATGCTTGGTTTAATGCTCTACTGTATCATCTTGAAATTTGTAATAATTTTTGAAAAAGGGGCTCCACATTTTCATTTTGCACTGAGCCCCACAAATTATGTAGCCAGTCCTAGTGGAGGTCCACAGTGCCCACACCCCCACTATATATGGGCCCTTCCCACCCCCTACTCATATTCAGTCAGACAGCAGTCAATCAGTACACATTTATTAAGCGCCTCCTTTGTGCTGAGAAGCTGTGCCACATGCTTGAGGATCAGTGATGAATAGACATGGCCTTGCTTTCACAAAATTACTGTCTGCACACACTCTGAAACTCAATCCATTCACAGTAGTGTTTGCAAGACAGTTCCCATAACAATAATGTTAATAACCAAAAAAAAATTCCAAATCCATTGCCGTCAATTCGATTCCAATTCATACTGACCTTATAGGACAGAGTAGAACTGCCCCATAGAGTTCTCAAGGAGTGCCTGGTGGATTTGAACTGCCAACCTTTTTGTTAGCAGCCATAGCACTTAACCACTACGCCACCAGGGTTTCCATAATGTTAATAGTAACCGCCAATTATAGTACACTGGGCATGTGCAGGAGTCCCTGAGTGGTGCAAACGGTTAACACACTAAGCTTTTAATTAAGAGGTTGGAGGTTCAAGGCCACCCAGAGGCACCTCGGAGGAAAAGCCTGGTGATCTACTTCTGAAAAATCAGCCATTGAAAACCCTGTGGAGCACAGTTCTACTCTGACACACATGAAGTCACCATGAGTCTGAATGGACTCCACAGCAATTGGTTAGGCATGTGCCAGGAAATTTACATACATCATCTTGTTTAATCCTAAAAACAGTCAATAAGGTAGGATTGTTATCCCCATTCTCCAAATGAGAAAATTGAGGCTTTGTGCAGTGTTACAAGCCAATAAGTAGCAGAGTTAGGGCTTGCCTTTGTCCCTTATTTTCAGCCTTTCCTCTCCTCCCCACACATGTACATTGTATTCAACTGTTTCCCCCATGGGCAAAAGCTCCTAGCTGGCAGGCTGAGGTCTAGGTAATCTTCCTGTCCTCAGTCTGCCAGCACAGAGCTACTAGAATGGCACATAGTCACTCTTCAATAAATATTAACTATTGTCATAAATAAGGAGCCCTGGTGGTAGAGTGGTTAGGTTAAGTGCTCAGCTGCTAACCGAAGGGTCGGCGGTTCAAACCCACCAGCAGGAAAAAGATGTGGCAGTCTGCTACCATAAAGATTAATAGCCTTGGAAACCCTATGGGGCAGTTCTACTGTGTCCTGTAGGGTCCCTATGAGTCGGAATGGACTCTATGGCAGTGGGTATGAGTACTGTCATGAATAACATTTGTCCACACTCACACATGCTCTTGTAACCTTGCACACCATCCTCCCACCCCTCCTGCAGCCTAGCTCAGTCCTCAATGCTCTCGATGCGATGCACGACGCACTCGTGGCTGACAGTCCGGGCCCCAGAACCCGGAAGGAAGAGCAGCTGCTTCTCTGCATCTTCCTGGGCTATACCTGGGCAGGCACGTGTGCGGTGGGGTGGGGTTGGGGGTTGCTCCTCAACAGCTTGGAGTGCATCAGAGAAGGCTTCCCACAGGAGGCCTCTGCCCAAGCTGGGTAAGAGAGCCAGGATGAGGCATGAGGGTGCTGCCCTGTACCTTGACTCCCTCCACTCTTCCTCACAGCACACCCCCACCTCTGCTGCAGCACCCTCCCTCCAGCCCCTTCTCCCCCGTAGAAACTTTCCTGTCTCCGCCTGCCAGAAGAGTAAATTGCCCCCAGGAATTCGCTGCATCCCACAGCTCCCCTGGCAGTGGCCAGCGGCAGTCCTGGGGTCAGGCTTGGCCCCACGTCAAAGGCTGGGCTCGCTAACAGCGCAGCTCCTTGCCTGCCGCCAGCCACTCTCCCCTCCTCTCCCACCAGCCTTTTGGCTTCCAGGGAACAGCACATGGTAGCACTTAAGTTCCGGGGTAGGGGAGGTGCTTTTCCTTCACTCCCACCACTCCCCACCCCGCCCCCTACTGTCCACAATGGACTACTTGTTAGGAGACTCTTTTAATTTTACTTAATGCAATTTGTGCTTCTGGGGCCTCTGTCGCCATCTCCTTCACAGACCTGGATCCCCAGCACGGGTGCAGGGGAGGCCAGTTCACCAGAGGAAGGTGAATCCAAAGTATGGGGATGTTCCTGGTTTTGGGGGTCTGGGGCAGACACAGGACTCTGTTACCTCAGGGGAGTGGGGCTGGTGCTCTGGGCTCACTCAGGAAGTAAGAGGGGTGGTTAAGGGAGGGCTCAGAGCCAGCTCCTTACAACTAGGGAGACCAGCATGCAAGTTTGTGGTATATACGGGGCCAATGTGCTGTTTCAATGCCCTGGGTCCAGGAGGCAGGCATCTTAGCCTGGCAGCAAAACAAGCTTTGCTTTCAGGACCCATTGAGGGTGACCAGAGAAGGGGGCATTTCCAGCCTCTGACCAGGCTCTGAAATTTGCTCCATCAGGTGCATCTTCTAGCAAATTCTGAAAACAAGGGGTGCGATAAGCTCTCTCTGGGACAGTACAGTGGTGATCTAGAGACCCCTAGTGGCCAAAGGCTGCAGAGCAAGGTCTTTCCTTAAAGCTCTGATCCAGCCAGCCCCAGGCGCAAGAGCCGCCAGCGTGGACCGTTCCAGCCCTAGGACTCGCCAGATCCAGGCTCCCAAGAAACCTTTATCAGTCAGCCACTCCCAAGTAGCCAGGCAAACCTGCCTCATTCTTACTGGGAGGGAGTGTGTTGGTACAAAGGGAAAATGAGGAATAGCCTAACCTGGGGGCTCTCCCAGCCTCAGTCATCTTAAGGTACAACCAAAAAAGACCTGTTGCCATCGAGTGGATTTGATTCAGACTCATAGAGTAGAGCTGCTCCACACGGTTTCAAGGGAGCAGTTGGTGGATTCGAACGGCCAACGTTTTTGGTTAACAGCCGTAGCACACTGTAGCTCCTAACCACTGTGCCACCAGGGCTCCTCTTAAGGCAGGGGAATCTATAATTCATATAATTCACGACCAACTACGGGGGTGGAGATAGGATGCCAGGCCAGGAAGTTAGGTTGCTGGGGCTTGTATGTTTGGCTCCTGTGGGAAACAGGATGAGATGATGTTCCAAATTGCTCAGTAGTCTGCAGCCCTTTCCCTTCCCTCAGCCCCTGGGTGCACATCACACAATCAATCGAGTCTGTAATGGGGAAAAGTCACTAAAGGGGCTTTGTTTTCACAGCTCGTGGACCCTGTAATGTTGCCCAAGTTTAACTCTGGGAAGGGAAATAACCAAAACCTCACGCCATACAAATGGCTGCTAGAAATAGGCTGTGGTACTAGGAGGAGAGGAAGGGAAAAGGTGGTGCAGCTGACTTTTTTTTGGCAGGGTACAGACATCACACAAAGCTTTCCACAGCTCGGCCCCAGCATTGATTTCCTCACTCTCATTCATTCACTCAAACTCTGGTGTGACTGGACCCAGTCCTACACAGGATGCTAAGGATACAGTTGATTAAAATAGAGATGTCTGCCCTGGGGTCCTAGATTGTAAGTGGGGGATATAGAGGCTCAGAGGATGAAATCCCAGAGGGAGAACGAGCCTCCCTATGCATCGGGATATGAAAGTACCTACGTCCCTCTTACTGGGGTCCCAAGACCCTGGCCCTACCCCTGCAGAGCCAAGGCACATTGCAAGCACAATGCATTTAGAGCAGGCTCCCCTCACCTAGGCCTGTCCACTAACCTTGGGGAAGGTCTGGAGGCCCTGTTTACCTCCAACAACCTGAGTACTTGGACCTCAAGGCCCTAGGCTGTCCCCAAGATCAGTGCTACCAAATATAGCATGGCGCAACTTCTGCTCCTTCTCTTTAAAAACTGGGTAAGGCTGGGAGAGGGAGCTGAGGCTCACCACCTCCCTCCCCACAGTACTAACAAGGAATCAATAGGGCGTCATCATTGAAGCTGGGCAGAGCTTTGAACCTAGCTTCTCCACTTACTAGCAGTATGACCTTCAGCAACTTCTGTCCTCCCCTCTAAAAATGGAATTATTGTGAATTAGATAATTGCATGCAAAGTGCTCAGTTGTGTCTGACACATGGTAAGCACTCAATAAATGGTACCCAAGACCAGGGTCTTTCTAGCCAAACCTTCTAACTTGGTGGCCAAGAGCCCAGGATAATCTACCTTAGCAAGTCTGGGATGTGGTCTACTTATATATTTTGCTGCAGACACTAGAGCCGAAAACGACTCTGAAGGGCCTCATTTGCTTGTATTAGTTCCCAGGTTTCCCAGAATCTGGTCTGTGGGGAGAAGCCCTATTCCTCCACTAGGTCAAAGCAAGGCAGGACCCAGGAACCAACTTGGTCTCCTCGTCCCACGGTAGCAAAATTCCCAGAGCTGAGCAGAAAGAAAAAACAAGACATGATTGAGATTTCACTCAAGAATGTTTTTATTGAAGAGTTTGTAAGAAAAAAGGATGGACCCTCTGTATAAAGAGGAGATGTTTCCTCCAAACAGCAGGAAGGAATGAGACCTGGGTGGCTTCCCAGAAGCCGGTGTTTCCGGCATGACGGGCTCCCCTTTCCGGGCAAGCACTGCAGTGTGTCACACCACAGCTAGCAATTCCTTCCCACCCCGCTCCTAGCCTTTCCTCCCTCCATCCCACAACCCTGGGTTCCCTATAGCCATTTGCCAATGGCTTTCTGGAGGCCCAAGGGTAGAAGTGCCAGGTCTCTTAATGGGGTCAAAGTGGATTTTGCTTTGGAAAATTCGATCAGAAATGTAAAATGGTTTGAACTCTTTCTAGTCCAACCAAGGACGATCACATCCAGCCCTTTGAAGGGAAAGGGAACAAAGAATTTTCCATCTGAAGGTACACACTTGTGGAGTAAATGGACTATATCACAATCTGCTCTTCATTAGCATGGAGAATGGAAATGAGGTTAGAAGAATATGTAACATCCATGTTAAGGAGTCACTGAGTTCTAGAGGGCAGAAGGAGCACTGAGGCTTTCTGATCCAGTAAGTGCTCCCGCTGGCCACCTTGAAGTCCTAGGGTTGGTCATTCCTCTCCAGCTGGGAGATTGTCCTCAATCCGCCTGATGAACCTCATCCGGATTTCTGTCACACTGTCTCCTTTCAGGGTATCCTGGACAAACTTGGCTTCCACAGCCATCTGGACCTGGGTGACAGTGGGAAAATGAAGGGGCAGCTGCCTAGCCATGGCCTCTGGGGAATCACCAGGGATGGGACTATAACTGGTTCACCCACAGCAGTCAAAAAAAGGGGCAAGGGGTGGGGGAGCCTAGGGACAAAGTTGCCAGCTCCAATGTTCCCTTGTAGAAGACGAGGCCTATAAGAAGAAACTTAACAAAGAACACCCAAGTATGAGACTGTCACAAAATAAGCCAATCTGGGAACTGATGTTCCTGAGTCTTAGGGGCTGGCAGCACTACCTCCCGGCCTAGTGGAGAGGACTATCACCATGCTAAATCCTATACATAGCAACAGCAGCATCTTAGACAGCAAAGCGCTGAGGTGAGCCAAACGTCTTTCCTTTCGCTCTCATTCATTCATTCATTCATTCATTCAAACATTTACCATGCCGCTACTACATTTCAGGTGTCCCAGAAGGCCAAGAGCTGCACTCACCATCTCCAAGGCTCCCCGCAACACCCCACACAAGAGATTGGAATAAATAAGGGATGAGTGGTTATCAGGAAGTTCCACAAAGTCCACCAAGGGGTTATTTTCCAAAATGAGGGAGAATTCGTCACCCGCTGGGCTCCAATTGGTGATGCTTGGAGTGATGCCCAAGTACATCTTAAACGCCACCTGTTGGGGACACACAACAGCATTGTGGGGTAAGAGCAGCAGAAGCTATACAACAGGGAAGGGACTGGCAAAATGGGAAAATAAGAGAAATAAAAAATAGGCAATAAGTTTTGCTCAGGAGCAAATCTGTGGCCTCTGCCAGATGCTGAAGCTTTAGATATTCAAAGACTAAAAAAGAAAAAGCATCTGTGCACAATTCAGCACCCCTCTCCTTTAAGGCATCGTACAATTAAGCAGTAATTCAGTGTCCGCCTGCACATGTCAGTGGAAGGGAACACTCATCTTCTGATGGGGTGGCTGCCCTGAACCAGTATCTGAGCACAGAATGCAGACAGGCCCTAACACACATCCCTGTTCCCCTGTGCTAGTTGAACCCACTTTTTTAAGAAAAATTTTATTGTACTTTAAGTGAAAGTTTACAATTCAAGTTAGTCTCTCATACAAAAATTCATACACAGTTATGTCACCCTAGTTGTTCTCCCTATACTGTGACAACACATTCCTCCTTTCCACCCAATTTCCCGTGTCTATTCAACCAGCTCCTGACCCTCTCTGCCTTCTCATCTCGCCTCCGGACAGGAGCTGCCCATTTAGTCTCATGTATCTACCTGAGCTAAGAAGAAGCACACTATTCACGAGTATAATTTTATGTCCATAGTCCAGTCTAATCTTTAAAGAGCTGGCCTCAGGAATGGTTTTAGTGCTGGGTTGACAGCGACTCCGGGGGCCATGCTTTCTGGGGTTCCTCCAGTCTCCATCAGACCATTAAGTCTGGTCTTTTTACTAGAATTTGAGTTCTGCACCCCACTTTTCTCCTGCTCCATCAGGGACTCTGAACCCTCTTTCTTAAAAGCAAATATAGGTCACTGGGGTAGAATTACTCCAAATACATCTTTCCCTCTATCTACTCGCCTAATTCTAAACTCTCACAAAGTTCCCTCTGCTGTCAACCCTCTTTAGGATTTGGGCATGGCCAGCGTGTTCTACAACAGAAAGAACCTACCTTAAGGTAACTGACACCACAGAGCTACATGTGTTTTATCATTTATTATCAACACTAAGACATTTAACACTAATATTATTAATAATAGCAAACATTACTATATGCACAAGACTATGCTAAGTACATTTATTTTACCTGAATGCTCACAATCATTATTTACTCCTTACAACAACCCCATGAGGTAGTTCTTATTTTCTTCATTTTAAAGATGAGGAAACTGATAATTAAATAGGTTAAGAGTAAGTTCCTTAAGAATCCAGAACTAGGAAGTACTGGAGCCAGAATGTAAAGCCAGATTTGTATGAGGCCAAAGCCTACAGTCTTAACCCCCATACTACACTGCTACCCCTTGAGTGGAGGGGATTTGGCTTAGATTTCAGTGGGGCTTCAATCCACAGGGATGACTCCAACCACTCTTCTCTTTTTCAAAATCTGTGCTACTCCCAAACCACCAGGAAGGCTTCCTTGGTCCAATCAGCTGTTTAACTAGTCTTTTGGGAGATTCAGGGCTTCTCTAAGGGAGACGGAGAAAGTGGTAAGCAGTGCCTCCAATCCTTCAGGATGGCCAGGTAGCCCAGGATAATGACCTTAGCGATGACATCTGCAGTTTCCCGAAAGTCGTGGCATCTCCCGACATTTGACCTTGCCAAGAAATCTTCAATCAGTCGGACGCCAATGTTATAGCCCCTAGGAAGGAAATTAGAGAACACACAGGTATGGGGTGATAGTCTCAATATAAGGCTGTTTGTGGTAAAGGGAAAATGGGGATAATCTCAAAACATCCCAATAAATGAGCTCAGTGGAAATTGTGCCCAAAACATTAGCTATGATAGAGGACTCTGTCCTGTGCTCTAAAGGACAACGTAGTCTCAGTGTGCTGGTAAACCCTATCCCTGCCTCTCCCGTAGAAGAGCTCACTCACATTTTGTCCAGCTGTTTATTCACATCTTCATCATTTTCATAGTCCTTGCAAAGCTGGGTGACCAGAGCCCCATAGGTCAGGGTGAAGAGCTCAGAGCTCTGAAAGAGGTTCAAAAGGCAGTCAGGACCAAGCAGCACAAAAGAGAAAGGGTGGAGCGTGTCTGGGTCAGCCCCAATGCAACTCTCAGGACTCAAAGGAAGGCTGCCTTGTCCGGTGGAAAAGAACATCATCCCCTATGGAGCTGCCAGGGAGTATGGCCCCCAGGGTGAACCTGGCAGGCCTGCAGCTAGATTAGCACCTCATGCACTAAGCAGTCATCTTCCAGTACACCAAGGTGGGCTTCTGCCAACTCAGGTTCCTACCACAGCTGCCAAGCCTAAGCTCAGGTCACCAGTACCTGATGTGGGAGCAGCAAAGTTTCACTAGGCACTATGAAAGACAGATCTGTGTGTCAGCAGGTATGACTGACGGCTTCTCCAACCCCTTAGAATGTCCTGGCCTAGAGATAAACTGTACTCCCACGGCTCCACCCAGGAGCAGCAGAGGATCCAGGTGCCTAGTCCACAGGGAAGAAAGTCAGTCCTAGACCAAGTCCAGTGCACCAATGACAACCCCTCTCCAAAGTCACCTATCTTGGGGAAAAAAAATGTTCCTTCGTCACACAGATAAAATGTTTCCAGGAAAGAAGATAACTCTGACACAAATGCAATCTTTTGTGTACCTGAAACACAACACTGACCTGTACTGGTTTCCATTACAATCTCAGTTAAAATCACAGAAACTCTTTCTTGGATAAAGAATCCTGTAATCTACCTACCAAAAAACAGACAGATGGGCAAGGTGAAATGAATAATAAATACCAAAACTACAGAATGAAAACAGCAGCATTATCAGAGTTAAACAAAGTGAGAAACACATTAACAGCACATCTGGACCAATGGATTCCCATAGGAATGAACGTGAAAATCAAGACTGCCCCCTAACCATAATGGGCTGGTGGGAGGTCACTGCAAGAATAATAATTTGATGCCTTTTGCTTACATACCACATTCTACTTTTCATCATTTCATTTTCCATCCCACAGTAACTCTGTAAAGCAGAAATGGCAGGAATTATCCCCATTTTAGAGATGAGGAAACTAAGATTCAGAATGGTTAAGTAATTTGCCCAAGAACACACAGCTAATTACTGACAAAAGTAATCTGGGGGGACAAAAATCAAGAGTTTATAAGTCAACATTCATTCCATCCACTATTCCCCACAACTGCAGTATTAAATAGCCTCCCCCCACAAACAAAACAAAACAAAACTTAGCTGCACTAGTGAGTCAAAGAAAATCCATTTCAGAATCAGGAAGCACTTTGACTCAACTAAAACAGTCAGATCGGGGTGTCTCCAAGAGACCATTTACCAAATATGGCAATTAAGGGGAAGCTATTAAGAAGGGGAATGACTTTTTAGTAAAGTCAAGGGCTTGGCACTAGAATGACTTGAGCATGAATGCATGGACACAATCCAGCAGTTACCAGTCTGGGGAGTTGGCACCACTGCATTAAGTCACTAGAGCTTTCCATCCATTATGAATGAGCCTTTGGATGAACACTCTAGGAGCCTCAGGCCCACCATGAAGCCAAGCAAGATGCAAATCCCGTTATAATCACTTCATACATACAGCTGCCCCCAATTTTCCTGTAAGAAAAATCAAGGTCCTGAATAAATATGTCTATGGTCACAGAATCAATATTCTGGGATCTGGGTATGGGATCCCTGATCCAGGTTCTCCACACCCTCTTTTAATTTAAAGTCTGTCTCCATCTTCAATTATGAACCAAGCCTATTTGGAACAGTGTGAGATATAAATATGTAACTTAAGGGTCATCATAGTTTAAAAATAGGAGTGGGGTTGTGATACAGAAAAAAAAATCATTCAGTCAACATTTACTATATAATATATAGCACAGGCTATCTAAGAGGAGGAAGACAAACAATCAACTGAGTAACATACATTGTTTGCGAGATGGTGGTAAGTGCTATGGAGAAAAAATAAGTACAAAAGATGATTAGGGAGCATGTACGTTTGTGTGTATGTGTGTAGGGGGTCAATTTTAAATAGGTGGTCAGGGAAGGCCTCACTAAGGTGATATTGTACAAAGACCCGAAGTACTGAGGAAAGGGTAAGCCATGAACACAGCCGGTGAAAAAGTTCCAGGCAGCAAGTATAAAGACCCCAAGAGGGGTGTATGCCTGACATGTTTGAGAAACAGTTAGGAGACCAGTGTAATTAAAGAGGAATAAGCAAGAGAAGAGGAAGTTAGAGAAGAAACAGGGAGATGGAGTCTGAAGACCTGCGTTCTGGGCCCATGTGACCCTCGTAACGAAAGGTTCTATGGAACCGCAAAGGTCAGCTAGTCCAACCAGTCCAATTTCTTCATTAAGCATAACCATGAGAGGTTAGCAGAACATCATTTATCCCCATTTTATAGGTGACAGGTTAAGTAACTGAGATTCAATACTCTTCTTATAGTTGAGCACTATCATGTAAAAAGTTGTGTGATCCTAGGTCATTACTTAATCTCCCTGAACATCAGTTTTTACCATCTATAAAATAGTGAAAATATTATCTGCCTTGTAGGGTTACTATGGAATTCAAGTGAGATAATGTTTGTAGAGAACCTGTTACCCAGTAAGTACTCCATTGGTAGATGTTATTTTTATTCCTAAAGTGGGTCGATGTGGCGCCAGAAATCACCTTGAACTAGGCTCAAGGAGGGCAAATAATAAACAGGGAGATTTTGGACCAATATAAAGGAATTTCTAACAATTAATAGGGTTGCTATGAGTAGGAATCGACTCAACGGCAGTGGGTCTGGTTTTGGTTTTAAGAGTCGGAATCGACTCGACGGCAACGGGTTTGGTTTTGGTTTTATAGAAAGAAATTTGGTTTGTAGCCAGAAGACCTGATTCTGAGTCTGGACTTGCCACTTACTAGCTGTGAGACCTCTGGTAAGTCACTTCACTGTGCTAGGCCTCAACCTCCTCACACGCAAAAACAGTAAGAGTAAAAACCTGTCATGTCAATCACAAGGTTGCTGAAAGAATCTAATGAGATAATGGACTGGAAGGTGCTTTGCAGACCAAAACACCATAAAGGGTTATGGCAGCTACACCAACATGATCTCTCAGCACTTCTTCCTGAGGATACAACTAAGCAGAGTAAGTTAAGTCACGCTCTACACTCAGGTGAGCCACTGCACTTGATGGTCTTCAGAAGGCCTTTCAGTTACTCCCCCTAACAAAACATCAAAACACCCTAAGGGGGCTGATCTTTGAGGCTGATGTTCCAAAAGTCATGCTTACTATTTCTGTCAGAACACAGTAACCTAGTATGACTGCCCCCCAGCAGCTGGGGAAGGAGGATCCGTAACAAGAATGAGTCCAGCCCTCTCTCTTACCCTCCAAGTCCCCTGTCGTAGACACTCCAGGTGCTGCTACTTAAGTCTTAAGTCACCTGAGCTCTGGAGAACAGATTCCTGGGTTGGGTTACTAACGTTGTTGTTTGCCATCAAGCTGATTCCAACTCAGAACGACTCTATAGGACAGAGGAGAAGTCCCCCACAGGGTTTCCTAGGCTGTAATCTTTACAGCAGATTGCCAGGTCTTTTCTCCCATGGAGCTGCTGGGTGGGTTCGAACCACTGACCTTTCAGTTAGCAGCCAAACGTTTAACAACCACACAACCAGGGCTCTTGGGTCACTAGTAGTAACACCACCACAAAAGAGAACAAGCCTGATTGTTCATGGGAATCAGGAACCAATAGCTATACAGACATGAAGACTAAAAGCTTTACTAATAAGGAGGCTAGCTGGCATTTACTGAGCGTCAACTGTGTTCTAGGCACACTGTTACACTGCTAACTTTACATACATTACCTCAAATAATCCTCAGAACAACTCTATGATCTAGGTACTATTATTACCTTTCTTTTTTATGGTGAAGCTGATGCTTAGAACAAATTAAGAAACTTGTCCAAGGTGACACAGCATGTAAGCAGTAGAGCCAGCATTCAATCTCAGACAGTACCATACCCCTTGTGTTGTGTGTGTGTGTCTGTCTCATAGAGTATATGCTTCTCAAGGTTAGGAACTAGGACTTTATCTCTGCATCTCCCACAGCACCTGGCACAGAGCTTTGTATGTAGCTGGGGTTCAGAAAAAGTTTGCTGGACAAATGGGCTATTTCTGTTTGCAGATTTAAAGCAGAGATCTAGTTACTTGAATATATTAACCACTTAGGTCTTGGAAGGCTTAAGTAGGAACACAGTAACTAGCAGGAGGTTGGGCTGATTGAGACAAGGGCTGCTAGAGGGGGAGACTCCCCAAGCAGAGAAGAGAGGAGCATGTCACAACCAGGTGGGCACAAAAAGGATCATACCCTAAGCCTTAAGTCCTAAGTAGGCACCAGTAGAAACTGAATGAGAGGATGCACTCAAACCCTCATTTAATTCATTAAACAAATATATACTGATGGCCAGGTATCATTTTAGGTGGAAGGAACGGAGCAGCAAACAATACAAATCCCTGCCCTTGTAGAATTTACATTCTCATGGGAGAGACTGAAAATGAACAAATAATTTATAATTAAATATCAGACAATGCTATGAAGAACAGAATAAAAGATAGAGAACTAGTCAGGTGGTGGCATTTATGTAACTGTGAACGAAGTTAAGGAGTAGGTGACTATGTAGGGGTAGGGAGTTCAAGACACAGAAGAGTAGTTGTGACTACTGGGGGATGGGGGTGGAAATTGCAGGTTCCTGCTAACGTATTCAAAGCCTTCAATATTTTGCGTAAAAAATGTACAAAATAAGAACAAAATATGAAAACTAAGCAGGAAGACCTCTCTGCTCATATCTTAGGAAAAGGAGGAGGAAACATTTACCATGCCCCACACATTTCTCACTATCTCATTTAATCCTCAACTACTGTACTAAGTTGGCATTATTGTCCCTATTTTACAGATAATGAAATTAAGGATTACTCCAGTTAGCCAATGTCGAGGATTCCAACCCAACATCCATGCCTCTTCCCCTACATGACACTGTTTCCTAGCGAAATATTCTCGTCTTTTTTCTTCTTTTAAATTCTTGGTATTTTCTCCAAAACAAATTAACCCGTGATCCATACAGTATCTTCAGGAGGCCCACAACTCCCTCCCCTCCAGAAAAATATAACTAAATGTCTATGTTTGTCTACTTAATGTTTCTGGGGAGAAGAACCACAGCTATATCAGTTTCTCAAAAGGGATCTGAGAGAGGAAAGCTTAAGAGCTATTCTAACGTTAAAAATCCTTCTGAAGCCCATTTTTAGTTTTTGGTTCCTGCTATAAAATGCAAAGGTGTGAGGGAAGTTTACTTATCCCCTCCAGAGCTGTCAACAAAGGGCCCCTGGTCTGCCCAATATGCAACCCAGGATACTCAGTTTTTAGAGGGGAAAACAAAGACAGGTGGCATGTGCAATTCTGGAGAGGGTAAGAAAAGACTAAAGAAAAGGAACACCTGCCAGGAAGGTCCCTTAGTTTTGAGAAAAATGTTATCCACCTGACCCTCCAGCCCCAGACCCCAACAGCAACCAAACTTTATGGAGACCCACTATTCCCAGGACGAGAAGGGAGTTCCCCCAGGCTTCACCAGAGGGTATCACTGCCCAGTCTGGCCCACCTCTTGCCCCACTGAATAGAAATTTCCTTTTTGGCAAGGCCAGGACCTGAGCGTCTCTCATAATGCCCACAGCACAGTTAAAAGACAGTATAGCCTAGTAATGTGAAGCATAAACTTTGGAGAAAGACTTGGGTTCCAATCCTGACTCTAGCTGTAAATTTGGGCACGTTACGTAACCTCTCTGAGCTGTAAAATGGAGGTTAAGATTATCTACCTAATAGGGTTACCTTGCGGATTAAATGAAATAATGCATGTAAAGTGCCTGGCCCAGTGTCTAACACATAGAGAGCATTAAGTGGTAGTTTCTGTTATTATTACGTCGTTGGTGGTGGTCCAGCAGTCAGCGAAGACCTCTTATTCATCGCACGGGGAGGGGTCTCTGGGCTAATCCAGCGGTCCTCCAACATGCCTCAGGCCAGGGACGCCCCCCGAGCGACTCTCCCTTCTCGACCCACCAAGCAGCCACCTCCTTCCTTCCTGTGGAACCACCCGCATCTCAGAGCTTACAGGAGGGTTCTTGCCCAATTGCGCCCGGCGCTCCGCGCCGGGCCCCTTCCACAGCCCGTCTCAATTCCGCTCCGCCCGCCGAGGTCACGCACTACAGGTTACCATTTTCTTGCTCTCGGTACCACGGTTCGACTGCCTCGACATGGTGCTAGCCGTCCCACTCCGCCTCGCTTCAGGATCACTCAACGACCCGCTCAGAACCCGCTCGGCCCAGCCACGGAGCCTCAACCTCCGGGACTGACCAACACCGATTCACTGCGCCTGCGCGGCCTGCCGCGCAGCACCACGGGACTCGTGGTCCGGCAGACGAAGGTAACTCCCGCCGGACAACCGTCGGACTACAACACCCAACAGCCGCGTTGGCAGTACCGCCCTTTAGCGCCGCCAGACTTCAACTCTCGGAGTGCTCCGCGCGCGGCTGTCTTGTAGAGCCTGGCTTTCCCTCCTTCTGGCCGGTGGGTGGCGTCCGCAGCTTGCGGTGATCCTGTATCACCCTCCTTATCCCCCACATCGCTCCCACCCCCGCCACCTCAGAGATGTTCCGCAAACTCCCCTCCGGACTCCGTGTGTCTCGGAAAGTCCCCCTTTCGAACTAGCCTCTTCCGCTGTTGCTGCAAGTCAGATCCGGAAGCTCCCAGGATGTCCCAGAAAACTAACAACGGCTACACGCTGATTTGGCTTCTTCATTGCAAAAATATTTAATGAATGACCACCTACTGTGTGCCAGCATTGCATAGAGGCTTTTCTTCACGCTATCATCTGTCCTCAAATCCCAAACGCAGCCAGCACCTGAATCCTGCCACCTGTGGCCTCGTGCTGGAATAGAATAGGTAGTCTGTAATAAAGCTCAGGCCTCTGTAATAAAGTTCAGACCACTTTCTCCCCTTTCCTCCCCTACAGCAGCTGCACTGCCTGGTTCCTGGGAAAGAAGGACCACCAGCTTTGATGGCAGTCAGTCCTGGGTTTGAATCTCAGTTTTGCCATCTTAGGCAAGTTGCTGGATCTCTCTCAGTTGTCAGGACTGGTGAGATATGTATGCAGAGCACGTGGACATATAAAAGGAACAAAGTAAATGTGTATTCCCTTTCTTCCAGTCAGCCTCTAAAAACAACCCAACAATGAGGCCCCAGAAACACCAGAGGAATGTGTTGGTCACAGCCTCGTCCATCACCAAGGGTAAGTACCACTGTCCTGACCACAGCTCTAACGCCAGTCTCTGGCTGATCAACTCTGAGGGGGTGGGGCTAAGGGTCCCTGAACACCCTCTCCTCACTTGGCCTGGTAGCCTCACTCTGCAGCAGCTGCAGTCTAGCCCTTAGCCTTCACTATGACAACCAGTCTGCCCAGACATGAGCCAGGCTAGGGAAGGTTGGAGGGCCCACTGGCTGCTCAGGCTGGAAGCCAGTACCCAAAATTCCCCTGGTCCCTCCCTAGGGGTGCAGAACCAATCATTCTCTAAGGCAGACATTCTTGGACCTCCCTGGAGGCAGTGACCCCTGACTTCCTCTCCTGTGTCAGTGTCCAGGGAGTAATGGGAGGGGGCCAAGAGTTCTGGGAAGGAACATGAGGGTGGGTTAGGAGGCAGGGAAGCAAGGGTCTGCTAGACCTTGGGGGCCAGCACAGCCAGAGAAAAGCCTCCAGCATTCCCAGGAGAAAGGACAGCTGAGGTGAAAGCCGCAGTTGGCCTGCCTGTCTGTTGGTCTGGGCTCCTCCCTGCCGGCTGCCCTTGGCTGCCCACAGAAACCTGAGTCACAGTCACGGCCAGCCGCCGGACCCCACCCAGCCTGCTGTTAGGCAGGGAGGTTCTATCTAGAGAGACTGGAGGAGGAGCCTCCCCCTGCCTGTCTCACTGCCTCTGAGATTCTTCCTCTCTTGGCCTGTGATTCCTCCTCTTTGCGTCTCTTTCCCTTTGGGACTTGTCCTTGTAGCATCATCAGCCCTGAATTAAGGGTGGGGGTAGGGTCCATCTCAGTCCGATCTATAGGCTCTCTTCCTTGCTCAGATGGGAACTTAAAAGCCCCTTAGCTGCTCCAAGGGCTCTCAGGCCCCCATCATTTCCAAATCCCAGTTCCTCCCCACCACCCTTCAGGGCCAGGACATTTAGGAACACCAGACACCCCGCACTCATCCTGCCCTGTTTCCTTCTCCCTAGAAAAGAACTCAGGGACAGCTTTCCATCCCTGTCAGGAGCTCTAGACAAAGTTCTCCTCCCAGGAACCCAAAGGGTTGAACCGATTAAGTCTTGGACTCTGAGTTCCACCTCCTCCAATTCCTCACTCTGCCTCCCCTTCCTCAAGAGCTGGAGGGAGGGTGACATTAGTTATTGCAGCAGGTGGACCACCCTTGAGGACATTCTCTGTCCCCAGGCCCAGGGAATGGGCCCTGAAGACTAAGGCTCCCCCTGGAGAGGTGGTCTGGGTTAGAGACCTCTTCTTGCTTCAGCGCCGTAGGGGTGGGGTGGGGGTGAGAATCTGGTGTCTTTTGGCTCAGCTTCCTCCACCATGAGGCCCCTCCCACTTCCTACTTTGTGAGTGTGGAGGCAGCCTGCAGGGCCTCGGTCCTGATTCATATCTCTTTGTCAAATTTCCTAGTGATTTCCTTCACTTCTTCAGGTTCATTGTGAACCCTGCCCCGCCAAATCTAGGAGGCTGTAAGCACTCTTGCGCCCTTCCTCCCCCTGGGGGACCAGGAAGGGGACATATTTCTGATCCCCATTCAGTGACCTGCCCCCCAGCCCAGCCTCATGGTGAGACTAACGGCTCACTCACGCCTGTTTCTGTGGAGGGGGAGGAGACTGTGCTGCAGGGGAGGCACAGAGTTCCCTGCCCCTCACCGAAGAGGGCAGGGCGTCCTATGGGGACTTCAGCTCCTGATGTTGCAAGAACCCCACTTGCTCCTTCTCTGGGATGTCTGATATTTGAAGGGCCACCCAGCCCCAAACTCAGAATCAGACACCCATTCTAAACCCTCTTAGTTGCTGGGGCCTGGAATCTGCCAGGGATCCTGGTCAGTTAGGGTGAGAATGGAGAGGAGCCCACCCCTTCTGTCCACCCTGACTTCACCAATCACAGGACACTCTCACTCACCTGGTTCCTCCTCAGCCATCCTCCCAGAACTCCCTGTGGATCCATCAGCTGTACGGGAAGCTTTCCAGGGCTAGCCAGGAGAACTGTCCTTTAAATCATCTAACTTCCAGATGCCTGGCTGGTCCCCACCACCAGCATCTTGTGAGAAGGTACAGGTGCCACCACCCTCAATCTAGGGGAAGATTCCTCAGCCTTGGCACCACTGACATTTTGGGCCTGATAATTCTTCATTGTGGGGGGCTGTCCCGTGCATTGTAAAATGTCCCCTGCCAGGGGGAATAGCCCCTGCTTGAAAACCATGATCCAGGGTAATACATTACACTATCTCTTATTGGAGCCGTGGTGGCACAGTGGTTAAGAGCTTGGCTGCTAACCAAAAGGTCAGCAGTTGGACTTCACCAGCTACTCCTTGGAAACCCTATAGGGCAGTTCAACTCTGTCCTATAGGGTCACTATGAGTCGGAATTGACTCGACAGCAATGAGTTTGGTATGGTTTCGACCTCTTGATGGTGAGCTCTCCAAAGTCAGTCCCAGATAATTAGACACAATAGAGGATTTCCAGTTCTAAAACCCTGCTCACTCCTCCTCTGCTGTAGAACCTCCAACAGCTTCCCATATCTACATTTCTAAGGCATCCAAGGCTTCCTATTTAGGTCATCCTTGGCCTATTTTCTCATCTTTGTTATTGTTGTTAGGTGCCCGTTAAGTCGGTTCGGTTCTGACTCATTGTGACCCTATGTACAACAGAACGAACAACTGCCCGGTCCTGTGCCGTCCTCACAATTGTTGCTATATTTGAGCCCATTCTCATCTTTAGCCACCATTTTTTCCCTCCAGTATTCTTGAACTCTAGCCAGTGTGGGTATCTCACTATTCCCCCCATATGTCTGGCCTTGCAGTAACTTCTACTTGTCCATCCTTCAAGACCAGAAGTGGGGGATAGGGAAGAGCCATCCCAGAAGGCCATCCTCCTGTTGGGTTCTGTTCTTGAATCTTCCTGAGTCTAGGCACTGCCTAGCTCAGGGTGAGTCTGTTCAGCTCTGGAAGATTCAGGCCCTGGAGGCCTCCAACCTTACAAATGATAGCTGCTCCTCACCCACCCCTGAATTCTGAATGAGAATCATAGACTCCATCATCCAGTAGTTTTTTACCCTGCAGATGGAGTGGTTGACAACAAAAATGAAGGATATGCTCCCCATTCTAATCCAGTTTTACCTTCTGAAGCCCCCTTATCATCAAAGCCTTCATACTTATTGTTGTTGTTAGTTGCTGTGGAGTCAATTCTGACTCGTGGTGACCCCATGTGTGCAGAGTAGAACTGCCCCCTACGGTTTCAAAGCTGTGACCTTTTGGAATCAGATCGCCAGGCCTGTCATTCAAGGCACTTCTGGGTAGGTTTGAACCACCAATCTTTTGGCTAGTGGTTGAGTGCTTAACCACTACCCAGGTAACCACTGAGTTGGAATCAACTTGACAGCAACTAACAATTTATTTATTGAGCACTTCTTATATGCCAGGTTCTGTGCTAAGCACTTCATGGCATTGCCTTATTTTATCCTTACAACTACACCATAATACCTCATGGCACGATTGTTTTCCTAATTTTATAGGTGTGCAATCTGGGTTTTAGGAAAGACAAGTCACTATTTTAAGGTTACCAGCTACAGTCGTCGGCCTTCTATCATCTTCTTCTAACGTTTTTTGGCCCGAGAGAGTGCCTTATTACCTCTACCAAACACTCCCAGCTACTCTACCTCCCAGGGCAGGCTGCCCGCAGGTTGCCTGAGACCCAGATCCTTTGTTCTCCACCCTCTCCCTTCAAATGGCTGCTCTCCGGTAGCTACTCAAAGGAAGGAGGTGCTGGCGGGAAAGTGGGGTCGGCAGACAGCATCTCACTGGGCCTAATCTTTGGACAATGGAGGAACTAGAGAACTGACCTTCTGGAGGTCAGGACAAAGGGCAGGGTGAAGGGTGGGCAGGGCCCAGCTGTGCCTCCTCGTTCCTGCCCTCCGTCGTCCATCCCTGCAGCAACATAATCCATCCACCCTCCCAGCAAGACCCCTCCTTCTCTGCCTCAGGCTGGACCTAACTTGGCTTGAGGACCTTACCTCAGCCAGCACCAACAAGACAATTGGGGGATCTACTCTACAGGGCTGGGAGGCAGGGCCACTTTCGGGAGAGGAGTCAGGAGGGACTCACCCCCTCCATCCACAGGCTGCAGGGGAGAAATTTCTTCTGGGGAGATTGGAGGTGTTTCCTACAGGGGGTGGGGATGGGGGAGGTTCAGGGCCAGGACCACCCAGTTGGGAGCCAGGAGGGCCCCAGCAGATTAGAGACTTGGGTAAAGCAGCAGCATAGGCTGTAATTACCCTAAAGAAGCAGAGAAGACGCCAACCATATGATGCTGGAGGAAGGGCAGCAGCAAGGCTCCCAGCCCTGCTTCCCATCCCAGCCATCACCAGGGGAGAAAGGGTAGCTCTCTTGGGGTCTCCCTGTGACCCTCTTTCATGCCACTTCACTCTCGACGTCCCCAGGCCGATTTTGTTTGAGGTGGGTTTTGAAGTGAATTTAGACTTGGAGCTGCCCCCTCAGCCCCAGAGCCAGACCCCCAGGCTCCAGGGTGGGATTGGGGACCCCCAGCCCGGCTCCCCTACGCTCCCCCCAATCCCAGCGGCGGGTGAATCACCCGAGCGCTCCCTACATAGTCGTCTCGCGCTGCGGCACGTACCAACGCACGGCCACAGGGGGAGGCAACTCGACGGGCGTCCTTCGGGGTTCTCGCGCCCCCTCCGCCGCCGCTGCAGAAAGGCGCCGGGAGCCTCGAAGCACCACTCTTCGGGGCGGGGATGGGCGGGCGGGGCGGACGCGCAGCGGCCGGGACCCCAGCCGCTGCGTGAGTGAGCCTCCCCTCCCCGCACTTGGTACGCGCCAGCGGCTAGGCCAGGCCCAGCCCGGGTGTACAATAGGGTTGGGCCGAGGCTGGGACTGGGCCGGCGCCCTGCAAGGAGCAGGTTCGCGGCTGGAGCCGACAGATACTGGGCGGCCGGCGACTCCGAGCCTCGCAGGCCACCAGCCGCCCCAACCTCGACCTCCCCGGGAGCGCCCTCCCCTCCAGTCGTTGCCCGCCGGGCTGGGCCGGGCGTGATGCGCCGAGGGACCCTCATCCTGGCCGCTGGCCGCCGCCACCGTAGCCGCTGAGACCCCGAAACCCCCAGTGACGCTGCAGCCGTGGAGAGCGGCCCGCGTGCGGAGCCGGGCCTCGGAGCACCCCCAGGTATCCCGGGAGCCACACAGAGGCGAGGTGGGGGGAGGTCGAAGGCCCTCGGGGGAGGCCGAGGATGGGGCTGGTCTGCTGGGCGGGGACCCCTCCCCCGCCGCACCCTCTGACCGCTTGGAAGTTTAAAAATAAAGACTGCGGTGGCGGCCGCGGCTGTGGGCCATCGACGCATCTTCTGACAGCTGCCCCCTCCCCCACCCCGGACGCCTGGACGCACTGGGCTGCGGGATCCGCTGGGACCCGGCTCCAGAGTTGTTGGGGTGACCCTCTCGGCTTGCCCGCCCTCACCCCCTTCCTGATCCCCCCCAGGCCCTGACTCCTCTCCTACTGCGCTGGGGCTTGTCCCCCTCCCATCCTGGATGGACGCGTGTTACCCCAGTCTGGATGTGTGTATCGGGGGTCCAGATTCTCAAGTCTGGCGTCCTGCATACCGAAGCCTAGGCCCTGGAGCCCCCCACGCCCTGGCCCAGACCTCGCCCCCACCCCGTCCCTCCAGCTGCCGCGCAAAGGGCCTGTTGCTGCTACCGGCCGGCTGGAGGGGAGGGGAGAGGAGGGGGAGGTCTCTGGCGGCTGCTGCCAAGTAACCCGCCGGATAAAGGCGAGGGGGAGGGGGAGGCAGCATTGTTAGGGGTGAGGGCGGGAGCTGGGGCAGTGGGCCGCTCGCCTGCAGCCTGGCCCATTCTGGAGCCCACCCAGCCAGATTTGGGGAGGCGGGGGACAGAAGTAAATGTGCTTATCGTGCTGCCCTCCTTTCCTGGCCTCTCTGGGCCCAGCCTCACTGGAGAATGAGGGAAAGGCTCAAGGCCGGCACTCCCGCGACCTGCCACATCATTGCTTAGATTGAGGCTTCGTCATCTGCCCCTTACACTCAAACACTCCAGGCCCTAGACCACCAAAGCTCCCTTCCCCTCATCCCGACCCCATCAGCCACCAGTGCCCAGGACTTCTGCGAATCCCATTCGGATCTGGGAGCAGCTGAGGAGGGAGTTTCTGGTTGGGCCTGGTGTTGTAGGGAGGCGATTTCTCTTTCTTTCTCTTCCTGGAAGCGGAGGGAAGAGCATGATTACTGAGGACCCAACTTCTGTTCCCACTGACTCAGGGGGGAGGTGGCCCCATTCCCACACCCCAAAGGAGTCCTGGAGCCTAATCCTGTCACCTCCCTGCCTCCTGGGGCGTGGGCCCAGGATGAAACAGTGTCTGTGAGTGCGGAGAGCCCAGGACAAGGTGGGGCTGCTTAGCTGTGGGTGGGCTCCTCCCCACACAGGCATGAGTGCTTTGAGGGGACCCTGTGGGTGTGGGAGCTGAGAGAAAGGGGAAAGGGAGGCTGCCATCAGGCTGGTGTGGTTGGGAAGTTTGTAGGCTGTGTTGGAAATAAGGGTGCCTGGGTCTCTCTTGACTCTGCTGAGCCGGAGAGGGGACACCCGGGTAGGCCCAGCTTGGGTCCACCTGCTTTCTGGCTCTCTGCATCTGAGAGTCCCTGGCACTAGTGTGTACCTCAGGGCCTGATGAGGGTGGTGTGACTGGGCAGTATACAAGGGCCGAAGTGGATGGCAAGGTTTATAGTTAGGGCACTGGAGCGGGAGGCCTGGACTGATTATGAGGGCAGGAGGTTAGGATGCTTGGCTGTACTGGAGGACCTGGATAGAGTGGGGAGGACTGCATACAGGGCCCGGGATTGGGAACACTCTTCTATACACAAAGGTGTAGATGGAATTATATGAGAACCTGGATAGGGATGAGCTGTGGTCCCTACACTAGGAGAAGTTGAAGGTGACAGAGGCCCCTTATGAAGCAAGGGCTTCCTGGGAGTAAATTTAATTCAACAAGCCACCAGCACCTGCCGTGCCCACAACATGTGTCCTATGAGAGTTTGAGGCATAGGCTGAGACTGATCGTGCATGACACAATCCCTGCCCTCTTTGTGCTCCCTTTGCACGCTTATACACAGAGCGTTAACAGGAGGCAGCATGGAGTAGGGAACAAGTGTGGTGCCAGATTTTGGGTCAGAGACTTGGATAGAAATCCCAGTAAGCCATTTACTGGCTACTGGACTGAGGCAAGTACCTCCTTGAGCCATATTTTCTGCCCCTGGAAAATGGGGGTGGTATTACCAGCCTTGCGGGGTTAATCTGAGAGTTAGAGATGATGTACCTAAAGGAACTTGGCACATAGACGCCCAGTCAAGTGTTTTTACCATTATTGCGGTTATGCTCCCTGGACTTGTGCCAGCAGGGAGGTAGGACTCATGGCGGGGGGGGCGGGGGGAGGTTGGGGCGGGAGAGGCAGGACTTGGGAATCTGGTTAAGAGTGAAGATTCTGAAAAAGTTTAAGTCTCCACTTCATTACTTAATACTGTGTGACCTCAGGCAAATTGCCTAACCTAAGTCTTAGGTTTCTATCTATAAAATGAGAATCATGCTAGAAATTATCTCACAGAAACACTGGGATCAGTATGTTAGATGAACACGTAAAACACTTAGCCAGGCCTTGGCACGAAGTTAGTGCTCAGTAAACACTGGCTATTTAATTGTTTCTGTTGTTATTATTTTTCATTCCTTTGGAGATCTGAGAAGGAGGTGATGGATAATTAGAACTTTAGGAGGTAAATGTAGGGCAGGGGGAAGGGAGAAGGTGGGAGGTGGGAGAGGAGTTCCAGACAGACATAAGCTAGGGTGTATCTAGGGAACAGAGGCCGCTGTGCCCAGAGCAGGGCAGTGGGAGTAGGAGAGAAGGCCCCAGAGACTGGTGCAACCAGCCGTCTATCACTGGCCAGGCCAGGCTGATGGCTCACCATGTGCCAGCTCAGCACTAGCTGTGCAGATGGCAGAGAAGTGAACCAGACAGAGTCCCTACCCTTAGAGAGCTCCTAGTCTAGCTGAGGAGGCAGGTATGTTCACAGAACCCTGCAGTCTGGAGGGAAGCCCAGGTACAGTGGTGAGATCACTTCAAGCAGTGGGCTCTGCATGGAAAGTGTCACAGAGGAGGAAGCATTTGAGGTGGGGCTGAAAGGATGAGTAGAAGTTGGTGAGACTGGCACAAAGGGCTGCAGCTATCCACACGGCAGCCACTCTGGCTGTGGCACATCCCACTAACAGCTTCCCAGCTTCCACCACGCCTTGGGCTAGTAAGCCCAGTAATGAGGTCTCGAATGAGTCCCTAATATGCACTCATGCATATGCAAATGAGGCGGATGGGGCACTAGGCCAGCTCAGGCCCCATCTCCCTCAGGATGGGCACCACCAGCTGTTGGTGGGGCAGGGCTGGGGGAGGGGAGAAGGGGCTGAAAGCAGGGCCCAGACTAGAGTGTGGCACTTGAGGGCTGACAGAGCAGATCTCAGGCCTGACCAAGGCTGCAGATTAGGCCACAAGAAGCTGGGAACCACATCCTTGGGTCTCTGCTGGGCCTTGGAGCCAGTGAGGGAGCCAGAGAGCCAGGCAACATAATGCAGCTTTGTTGGCCGGTGGTAGCTCTGCCTGGCACCCGGGGGCATAGCCTTCCATTTCTGTCCATCACCTCTCAGCTCCAGCTCTGACCTGAGGCGAACAGAGAGCATGGTAAGGGAACAGAGAGCTGCCCCCGTTAGCTCTCCTCACCATTCTTCAGAGAAGAAGCGGACCAGGCAAGACCCCTTGGTGGACCAAATGATCTCCCATTTATTATCTCTCACTCCCATTTATTAAGGGCCTTCTCTGTGCCAGGCACAACGCGTAGCATGCCACATGCATTGTCTCGTTTGATCCTCACAGCAATCCCATGAGCAGGGACTGTTATTATCCCCATTTTACAGATGGGGCTCAGAGAGGTGAAGTTACTTGCCAGGTCACACAGCTAGGAATTGGCAGAGGCAGGATTTGAACCCTGGTCCATCTGACTCCAAAGCCTCTGCACCAAACCTCTATGCTGGATTGTCATGGCGAAGCCCTTCCATGATTGGTCTTCTGTAGGCATCTTCGTCTTGGGGTTCCCGTGATTTTTTCTCTGGCAGGCAGAGGTGAAGTCAGCAGGGCCCTGGCTTCACCCAAATCCTGCCAGGTTGGAGTCTCAGCAAGTTGGACCAGAAGGAGACCCTGGACTCAAGCAGTGGTGACAGTCCAACCAGTGGGCCATCCCCAGGCCTTGGGCTGAGGCTAGTCCTCTGCCCTCAGCTTCTAGGCTCTAGTCTGGGCAGCCCTGCTGGAGCTGAGGGAGGGACATGGTGGGGCCTGGCTTGCGGGATGGGGTCATTTCCTGCCGCCTAAAATAACAGGAAGTGGGTGCTCCTGATTGGAGGCTGGGAACAATGGCCACCAGCCGGCCAGAGAGCTCCTTTCGATTTGCAGTCTCTGCTGGGTTCCCCTGGCCTGGCCCCGGTGCCCTGCTGCCCCCAGTGCCTGTGGTCTGGGCTTTGAGGACCACCCAGAGCAGGCAGGCTGCCCCCCTCCTAGTGCACTGCCTCTTAGAGCTGGCTCAGTTGCCTCCAGGCCTGGAGTAACGCTGCCCCCTCAGCTTCCATTGGGCAGCCCAGCCCGAGGGTTTGTCCTTCCTGCCCACCCCCATTCTCCTAGCCCAGATCTCTCCAGAAGGAAGAGAAATCCAGGAAGCTGTCCCCACCAGGCAGCAGAGTGGGGGCACAGACCCTGTCACACTGCTTCCAGGTCCAAACCCCAGCTCTGCTACTCCTCACTAGCTGTGTGGCTTAAGAGAGTATCTTAATCTCTCTGAGTCTGTTTCCTCGTTTGTAAAATGGGCTAATAATAACTACCTCATAGAATTGTGGTGAAGATTAAATGAACTAATATTTTTAAAGTGTTTATGACACTTTAAAATATTGACACTTTAAGCTTGTGCGTGACACAAGCAGTGGTTGTTATTAATTAGACTTTCCCTGGGCCCAAGTAAAGAAATGCCCAGAAAGGGCAGGGCAGGAGTGACCTGGATGAGACCACATAAATGTACTGGGATGTTGTGTCTCTGTGTGCTTGTGTGTGTCTCTGCAGCTTTGTGCCTTAGAGTGGGT